CCCCACCAAAAGCAAAATTTTATTGCAGATTCGGGGTCCTCTCGCTGAGCGCAGAACGACCCCGGTTTCAAAAAAATAAAAATAAAAAAAATTCTGGGCGTTTTTTTGTCCTGCCCGGTTTACCCGGGCGGCCCCCCCGGGCCCAACCGGCTGGGCAGGCCCGGCCAGGCGGCGTCCTCACTCAGATAAAATCGAAATTATGAATATCACAACAACAACACATTCCTTGTGATACACACCACGGTGGACAGAAGAGCAGACTGGCCAACCAATCCATAGACAAGACCACACTGATGCCCTGCGGCAGATCAATGGCATCCAGAAAGCAGATCTGAGCCCCCACGACATCTGAACAGTGAATTCTGATTCTGCTTTTCTAAACTACTGAATTATCCATTCAACCACTTGACATTTCCCCTGGCGGAGTTCGTTTTTTTTTTCAGCGCTAACCTACTCAAAACAATCACAAAGGTATAGAAAAGCGGTGAATTAGGCGGTCAGATTGCTCAGTATGTTTCCATGCGCGGCAGGACGACAACAACAACAACAGCAACGACAACAACGACGACCACACCCGCCATTATGAGAACGACAATAACAATGAGTATGATGGCAACAAAACTATCCATCGCATGACGGCGACAAAAATGAGACAACAACAGACGACCACCACCACCACCATCACCACCACCAATAACAACAACAACCACCACAGCAGCAGCAACGTCAACAACAACGACAAGAACAACCACAACGACGGCGACGATGATGACTACGACAAAACAAAACAGGAGATGTCCAGACAGGGTGAACTCAACCTGCTCAATGTCCGACCTTGAAGACTGGCACCTTGCACAGGAGTTTGATCACACAGAGCACGCATGCAACAACCTCGGGGAAAGGTTTCTTTTGTGCTCCTCAAAATTTGCAAAACACAGTTTAACACACCTTAATTCCGACAACAGCAGCCAACTCCGGAGGCAGGTCGGGGTCGAGTTCCTGCAAAAAGAGAGAGATTTGCACCAACCGTAAGGAACCAAATCATTTTTCAGGGGAAAAAAAAAAAAAAAAAAAAAACAAGAGCCAACATCAATACATCAAAAAGTCCGGGAGTACCAGGGAGAAACAGGCAAAAGGAAAAAACATAACACAACAAAAAAGAAAACGAAAAGAAGATTTGCACGTGAAACTTCTAGAAGAACAATCTCAAAACTGCAAGATGGCTCTCTGCCTCCTGCTCCCTAGCTGTGTACTGGCCTTGTCGACTTTTGAAGCTCATCCCTTCTCCACACCCTCACAGCGTAGCTGCAGCAATGCACTCGCCACACGCAGACACTGATCATGGGACAGCGTGGATGAGACCAGAGGACACATAATTGGATAGGACTGGCCAAATGTGTGTGAACTGCAAGATGGCTCTCTGCCTCCTGCTCCCTAACTGTGTACTGGCCTTGTTGATTTTTGAAGCTCATCCCTTCTCCACACCCTCACAGCGCAGCTGCAGCAATGCACTCGCCACACGCAGACGCTGATCACAGGACAGCGTGGATGCGACCAGAGGACCAAATACACCATCCAACCTAACTGGATAGGACTGGCCAAATGTGTGTGGGCTCTACTTCACAATCTTTCTTGCGGAGAGTCAAGTCTGGTACCACCAGCAGATGGGAACAGGGGGCGTATTATCGGAGTGTCAGTGACTGGGGTCCAGGGATGGGATAAGCAGATGGGACCAGTGGACAATGGATAGATCAATGGATAAGATCAGCACCAGTGAATAGACCAATGGGACCCAGGGATGGGACTAGCAGATGTGAACAGTGGATGGAATCAGCACCAGTGCATAGGTAGGTCGATAAGCGGTATCCACACGAGAGGACGGATCAACCAAGGGATAAAGAAGATCGAATCAGAGAGCGGGGTCATCAATATATCAGGGGATGGTGGATGGAACGGCATTGGAACCAGAAGACAGATCACTGGACCGGGAACCGCAGCTGGTACCGGAGGTGGGACCATCATTAGACGGGGATGCACAGGTGGTACCAGAGGACGGAACATTCAATGGGACAAATAGTTGGAGCCACAAGAGAGTGGATCGAACCAATAGATCAGACAGAGGGACAGATCATTGGATGCAATCGATTTATGGAATCAACGGATGTTTGCACGGACAGGAACTGTGGACAGAGTGCAGAGGACTTGGACAGGAGGCAGCAACGCGACAAACAAACTGGAGATGAAGAGGTGATGATCAGAACAGCCCAGGGTCGCAATCGCATTAGACACACCAGCATGTAATTGGACTATGTACGTTTAGACGAGCTTTCATTTATCCCTATATGGCACAGGAATAGGTCCACAGCAGCTGGCGGGCTATCATTCAGGCACAGTCGCGCCTGACTGAAAAGGATGGTCGATCATACTTACCAACTCCCCTCGGCCACTTTCATAAACACGAATCTTGCTCTGCATGGAAGCCTCCACTCGTAGTTTCTCCTGATGCACAAGGCACGGTCCATAAAGGCCCAACATGCAACAATCCCCGGTCCATGTACATGGTCCATGCCGACGACCAGGTCGGCGCATACATTCACCCCCCAGTTCCATACACCAATGTGGCAACAAACGAGACCTTGTCAAAAAACTCCGAATAGCACCAAGATAACCCCAAGAAAACCAGGGACTAGGTGCAAAAAAAAAGGCCTTCCTGAAGAGGAAAACAACAAAGGGCAAAAAAATTGAAAAAAAGGAAAAACGAAAAAAAGGGAACGAAAAGGGAAAGAGGGAAGGGCCCGAAGGGGGGGGGAAATGACGACTTCACATCTCCACTTTCAGCCCCAAACCCAACATTATTATGATGTAAGTTCAAGCTTCAACTTTTAACTTGATTTCATTTAATCATTTGAGTTGAAGTAACAGCAAAACTTGATAAACCACCTCATTCAAAGCAATCTTTACAAAGGAACGAAAAAGGAAAGAGGGAATATCAAAGTTCCCTTAGCCCAGTTCACAGAACTCGAAGCCATTATTAACCCAGTAACAGAGGCATGCGTCCTTTACAGGGGATAGTATCAGGACAACCCTCTGGACCACATTCTGAAAGAAAAACGACTGTTGAAAGGATAAGACTGTGAATCTCTAAAAGATCTTATATCTCTTTAAATCTTTAAGATGTTGCAATCTGCGTGCGGAGGAGTTCGAGCACTAACAGAGTGGAAAAACAAAAACAAAATTAAAATTAAGAAAACAAGGAAATGTCCTTCGGGACATCTGTTAAAATTGAAACGATAAGAAAGCATGACGCCTGCACACCAAAAAGAAAAAAAAAAAGAAAAAAGAAAAAAAAAAGAAATGAAATGTCAACATTGAGAAATTGAGGCACAGGCAAAGCAAAGAATTGGGATGGGTCACCCAGCCCATGTGGCTGAACGTTACACCCACCTAATATCGATACAGTCCTTGCCGTCAAACCCCTCATCAGCAAATCTGGAGATTCTGAAATAGTCGGCCGGAACATTCCTTCGAAGAAGTCCAGGTGCAATGAACTCCATGCATCACTACTGCTGCTGTGTATGGGTGCAATGACTTGCTGATTTCTGCTGCCGAGATCTGACTGCGAGGTTGTATAGTCGTGTCTTAGGGTCAGATTCGTAACTTTGTTTGTGTCAGGGACTAACCGCCGGTCTAGTCCTGAGGGAAGTTCGTGAGGGACAGATCTGCAATTTACACGAAAATTGCAGGCCCGAGTTCCCCTTAGCCGTTATGGCCCTTAACAGACCCGGGCTATCACTAGGACAGCAGGCCCATCTGGGCCTTGGGCTGTAGCCGGGTAGGGCCCAGGACGAACAGGCCAAACTGATGCGGTACCGGTCCAGTAGGTCTAGGTCTAGAGTAGGCTAGTCTATTAATAGGACTGAGCCTGTAGGTTATGGACTTTTGGCATTTCATTTTCGTGATACATCGTTCTGGAGCCAAGTTAGTTTGGTGGTGGTGATTGTCTACAGGCGGCATCCTGAGACCCTCATCGTGGACGGCAGCCATAGCCAGCCTGCCGGTGTTGGCCATAGCTGGGGCACCCTCTGAGCATCTACCCCTGGGGGTATCTGCGATTGGCTGGGCTGTTCGGAGGCTCTTCACTGAGAGTATGTGGGTGGACAACTGTCGCCCTTCACTCCTCAGAGATTGTCAGGGCTTCGTCAGTGGTGTGGCAGCCATAGCTGCCATCTTCTTCGTCAGAGTTAGTCATCGGCACTCAAGACTTCATCGCGATTCATGTTCTTCGTCTGGATGGCTGGCGCTGGCCTCGGGGAGGCGGATTCTGTGTTGTGCTACTAACTGGGTGTGGAATAGAGAGTGGTGTGTGGAGTTCTGAGGGTGGCGAGACACTGGGATAAACTCTGTAACGATTATTGGTTTGAGTTGGCTCATCATCAGTGTGATTCCGATTGTTATCCTCGCAGGTGTCTTCTTGTGATTGGTTGTTGGGAGTCTGTCAGAGAGTGAGAATCACTGTGTCTCTCCCCATCTGTGCATGGTTGAATTCCGCTGCTTATCTTTGTCTGTGTGCAGTTTGGACTCTGTCTCCTCTCGCCTTTGTCTGGTATGTGCATGGGTGTGTGTCAGACACTCTGTGTGTGAGTGGCGAGAAAATCGTCAGACAACCAAGTTCATAACATGGGAATATGAAAAATGACTCGTGGTCCCACTACCAAATTGCCTTTGGCGTTGCCTAACAAAAGATCACATGTGGGTATTGTTGAAGCCATGGCCCAAACTGACCTCGATGTCCCCACTATTCGCATCAGCTTCCACATCCGCAGGACAGAAAGGTGGAAGCAAAACGAAAGAAAATCGTGAAATGGTTCCCTGGGGATCCCCCGGGAGAGGGGAGCGGGGGAAAGAAGAAGGTGAGTAGATCACAAGTACTATATCTACAGCCCGTGCAAAATGAATTGACACTGCCGAGCTGTTATAATGACACTTCGCACACCAGCACAAATAGAAAGCGCAGCAGCGCCTAGGAGGAGGAGACGGTGGGTGCAGCAGCATCAATAGACACAGCACATAAATGAAGCAGCAGACGGAAGAGTATTGACAGTGATTGTACTTCATCGATGGAGATTCAAGTGTATACTTCTGGCCAGCAAAACTCATCTTATCAGTGCCAAGCTGATATAATCACACTTCGCACACCAGCACAAATAGAAAGCCCAGCAGCTCCTAGGAGGAGGAGACGGTGGGTGCAGCAGCATCAATAGACACAGCACATAAATGAAGCAGCAGACGGAAGAGTATTGACGGTGATTGTACTTCATCGATGGAGATTCAAGTGTATACTTCTAGCCAGCAAAACTCATCTTATCAGTGCCAAGCTGATATAATGACACTTTGCACACCAGCACAAATAGAAAGCGCAGCAGCGCCTAGGAGGAGGAGACGATGGGTGCAGCATCAGTAGACAGAGCACATAATGAAGCAGGAGAAGGAAGAGTAGGACAATACCAACCATCAGAAACAGTACAAACCAGCAGACTTCCTAATTCAGAAACCACGCTGTACTCGCACTCCCTGTGACTCGAAGGAAGCATCTGATATCCTCTTCACACTCCCCTTTATTTGACATGGACTAGAGGGATTCTGAAAACAGGTTGCGTGCACATCATTCAAATCCACCTATCTCAGGCACACCCAAACAAAACACTGTACATCACCCCACGCATTCCACAACATCATGTCTTACTGTCCAACCACAAGCTTGAGCCCGCATCGTCGACCTCCAAGATACTGCAAGAGCTCAGTCAGCAGGGTGGAGAGGAGAGGAGAGGAGAGGAGAGGAGAGGAGCTTCGCACAAAAAACAACCTGGCAACTTCCATAGAAACCAGAATGACACCATAGATATCCAGGACAATGCAAAATTGAGCTCAAGAACCTGTCCGGCATCGAGTACGGTTGTATCTCTAGTAACCTAAGCAAAGCTCTGGGCATTGCTCAAGTGTGGTTGCGTCGCATTGCAGGAGCAATAGCACAAGCTGCAATAGCTGCAAAAGGCTGAGTAGAGTGTGTCCTGGTTGAAGTAGCAGTTGCAGAAGGTGCACCACTTCCCTTCCATTGAATACAGGAGCTATAGTCTGTTTAGTGGATACCCTAGTTATCTAGTGGTAATGGGCGTGCTACAAGAAATTGTTGAGGCGGACACTGAGCACAAGCACACTAAAAAAGTAGTTGCTGATGTAGATGCTGAGCTCAGGTTGACATAACAAACTCTGTTGTTGTATCAGCCATGGTACTTGAAGTCGATTGTTCGTCGGACTTGGGTATAGGAGCGAAAGACTAAATCGAACCATCGAGTAGTTGGTTCCCTCGACAGTTTCGCTAAAGATAGCCGGAGCGGTTGAGCGGTACGTGAACTAGATCCGCTGCTACAAACTGATCTGTCAGCAGAACAAGGAGTCCGACCGAACGGACCACTTCGTGTTTGCAACACCCTAGATATCTGTAGAAGTGTGTCTCGTCTCTGCAGCCTCTCAATGGATTCTCTGTAGAAAGGATGTACAAGAGTTGCAACAGCTTGCGCTCTGTACTACGCATCAACAAGAGCTCTGCAATAGCTCTTGGGTTGTGCATAGATTCAGGAGGCCGGGCAAGGTCGAGGGCCTAGACATTTCAGTGGATACAAGAAGCTGGGGCAGAGCAGAGGTCAACTCTTCCTGCTCCCGAGGTAATCAACGGCCGCTGACTCAGGGTCCTCTGGCCACAACGAAAGGAAGCATTGAGTGGGTTCTTTTATCAGGTATGCTGGACCCGGTTTCCAGCAAGTAATGGACTGCTCTTTCTATTAGTTGGCGAATCGTGTGTGCTTTTATTCAACAAAATGATATGATAGTGGTAGAGGCCATAGTAATCGACATAGACACTATCATTCCTGTACTTGTGATCAGCATTGTCACTGTTCTTCCATTAGCCATGGCAGACATCATCTCCTCCACCAGCCATCGAGCAGTGCAACCGTTTCCAGCACCCACTTTGTAGCATCTTCAACCTACCTAGTTTCTCAAAGAGGCATGCGCAGGAAGTGCCCTAGTCTATAAGCTTGTGAGAGGTCTTCCAAATACCAAGGACTAGCTAAAGCCAGCGATCTCGCATTTCAATGGCCGGCTATCGTCCCCGAAATAGCCCGTAAGAATGTCTGTTCCTCAAACGCACATTGCATTACACTGTAAAGTTGTGTAAACCGAAATCCGATCTCTTCTTCCTCAGAAGCAAGATACAGATGAAAGGCAAGGATGACTGGGTGTCGGTGTTCGCAAGTGCTTCACGAAAACCATAAAGACTCAGGATCCAACACCATAACAAGAGACTACCTTCATGATTCAGCTGAGTTTCGCAAAATTTATAAGCAGCAGTTCACAGGCATGCTATGGACCTGTCACAACATGCGTACAGATGATGGTTTAGGACCTGTGAAATGATACATCAGGGTTCTTCGTTCTTTTTCTTTGGGCGGGGGCGGGGGGTTGGGGCGGGGGCGGGGGTCAGAGAAGAATATTTGAAGGCGACATTTCTAGACATACACGGACAGTCAAAAGCCCGATTTTGGAGGAAACTTAGAAAAGCAGTTTGAAGTTTGAACAGCCATTCTGAAAGA